ATATGCTGAGATTAATTCTCTTAAGTTCAAGATAAATAGGAGTTAAGGTTAGGTATCAACATTATAGATTTGGAGGTAGATGAAGGATGTCTGGTGTGGCACAGAGGAGCAGTCGAGGTAAAGGGCTATGAATTTGTGCAAGCACAGGAGTAGATCGCGACAAATATGGCTGGATTAGGTCTAGTGGGAAGAGATGAATTTAGGTGGTTGTTGGTTTAAACCTGTGAAGTGCTGGTAATTTTGATAGAGTCCTAGTCAAGCAAGCATACTCGCTTAGGCTTCCTAGGGAAGATGTTAAAGGTTCTGTCCATGGCAACCCTAGGTTGCTTGGCAGAGCTAGGCTCTGCCAGATAAGCAGGTATACTGTGCAAGATAGGAATATCTATCTGCGTTAAGTGCCTAAAGAATTTAGCCGAATTTTGCCAGAAATAGGTGTCAAAGGGAAGAATTTGGAAGTCAGAATGCAGCACTTCATTCCGCACATATCAGTGATCGTTTGAGAGCATCCGGAGCATCGTGATCGATAATGCCTTCAAATAAACAAGGTCACCCTCGTTCGAGCTCTGACAGAGGAATGGGATAAATTACCCCAACAGCTGCTGGATAAGCTTGTTCAAAGCATGGCATGATGTGTGGAATCTTTCATCACACTCTATGGTGGCCATATCCTGTATTGATACGAGATATGGCCTGTATCTTACATCCTGTAGTCTTGCATCAGAATGCTTGCGGACAGTAATTGCATTTTTTTCACTTTTATGTATTCAGCACAAAATAACCATTTTGTCCCTTGAACACTTTTCAAAGCTTTCTGGATTTCACAGTACAATAAATTACCTTTATTGTTATTTCCTAGTATTCTGGCATTATTTTATTTCACTCGCCATCCAACTACAGTTACATTTTTACATGCTATATAGCCTTTTGTGACCATCCTTAGCAATTGCCCACCAGTGTGTTTTTATAGGCATCTGGAACTTGGCCTCGTGACTCTTAAACCGTGAATAGGTGTGACTTTCTTTTGGTGATAATGTATCTTTTCTTATATATATATAGCTTCTTCTAAGAGCTCTGCTACCTTAGTAGAAAGAGTTATCTTTGACCGTCCATCCATGAAATGCTCATGCATTTCTCTGTTGATGTTATTGGATTATACTTGATCTGTTAATGCTATTTATAGATTCCAAATATCAAGCAGTCACATTATCATATGCACATTATATATTGAATTATACTGAGGGTGTTTATGCATTTTTAAAACAATTTCAATAAAGAATTAAACACAAAGCAAATATTTTGGAATAAAATAGCTGGCAACAGCTTAATATTTGATATAAGAAATATCATCTGCTCCTTTTAAATTGATTCTCCTTTCAAAATGTCACATGTAAACCAGCTGTGGATAGAAGAATATGTGTTTGCACTTTTCAAACAGAAATATTCCTATTTCACAATTCAAAAACAGTATGAGATGCATGGTAATAAAATTTCTTTCTAAGTGCAAAATTATTGATCAGAGGAAAAGCCATCAGTTATTACTTCTGCATGGAAAAAAGACTCTGAACAAATACTTGAAAGAGGTATGCACTATTTCTAATGTTTCTAAAGTTAAATCATTGGTAACGAGAAAAACCCAGTGATGCAGAAATCAATTGCAAAATCTTTAAATACATCTGTAGCAACAATAAATAAAATAATAAACCAAGATTTACAACTTAAAAAAGCTAAAAAAAATAATGTTCACCAGCTTTTGCCATGGTATGTAGTTTGACGCAGAACAGTTTGTAGAACCAACCCTGCATGAAAGCTATTTAGTTTGAGAACTGATAGAAACTGCTTTAGCTAAATGACCAACAACAATGACAAAAAAAGGGGGGTGTCGTTTATTGAAAACAAGGAGAAAAAAAATGTACAAACCTGATTCTGTCAACACAGAGAAAGTTTGACTTAGTGTATTATGATTCTCACAGGATTTTGTTACAGTGGAAAATTAAAAATAAGAAAAGTTGGGAAAATGAACAACCTCTCAAGAAAGTTTTATGCCTGATATTTACAGAAGAAATTCCATTTCTTTATCCCAATGACTTTCAAAGAGTGAAACTTCATCAAGACAAAGCAACGGGTCATAATTCGAAATGTACCACTGTTTTCCTTGAAAAAATTAAGACTGGTACAGATATTACATATATGCATTTTCAGCGTATTCCTGTTAAGTTCCGTGACGTTTCTCCTAGGGACTGTTGTGCTTTTGCTCTCTTGAAAAGAGTCTTTCTAAGCACAAATCTACCATGAGTGATAGACCCTGGAAAGTAGCAGAAGAGGAATGGAAATTTTATAAAAATCCTTCTATCGTGAAAATCACGATACAAACTTATAGTCCAGGAAAGAGGTTGTCAGATTGGACATTTACAACAGTACTCTTTACATTCTAAACATTAATCAGATGGTTGCCAAATCATTCTAAAAATTCATAAACACCCTTTATAATTGGTTAAATTCAAGAATTTATGGAAATACAGTTATACTTTACATTCAAGCTGTCAAAAATTTCTACCTTTATTAGCGCATGCATTCTAAGGTTTTCCCCCCAATCATCATATGTAAATATCAACATAAAAACAGTTTTAAAACAAGATACTAATAAATTCTAATCCTTTCTGTTAATGCAGATACATTCAATTGGAAATTATCAGCTTCTCATAACTTCATGTCAAAATATTAAACTGTAAAACAGAAAATTCTAGCAAATTCTAACAGAAGTACCGTTTAATACATTCAAAGACAACTTAGTAATGACATGCTAAAATAAGAGTTAATATTCAGAATTGTAGTAACACTTTTCTTTTGTACATTCAATCCATATGAACTTAAACTGTGGGGAAAAATATCATAAATATTGCAGATATTAAAAGGTCTTCTCTTAGTACAAGCTCAAATTAAAATATGGGATTATATTATTTGAAACAAAATAAAGCTCTTTTTTTTTTTTTTTTTTTTTTTTTAACTTTAGGAGAAAGGCATTAATGCTAACAAAAAGCAGTTAAACTCATCCAAATTAAATTATAGATTGGTTTAAAGTAATTTAATTCACTGCTTCAATATAAAAATTTGAAGTACTTACCTCGCTGGAATTTGAAGACTTAAACACTAATGGGTTATATGTGGAATATGAAAATACTCTTAAGCATACATACATGAAATATTTTGGGGATGTATTTGGCTCAGACATTGTATGGCACTGTGATCACCATTCACACTGCACAAAAAGTAGATAATTTCTAGATGCAGAATGGTCCAATGTAATAAAACTGATCTTCAGACATATATGGTCCCAACTCAGCACTGCACACACACACACACTTAGTAGTTAGATTTTTAGTTCTAATGTTCAGATACTGAAGATCCACTTTTTAATAGATGAAACCTTTGCAACTCCACTATTCTAAGACGTTTATGGGCTTTTACTGTCTAACAAACTTAAGATACATATAAGGATATTATTTAAATTAAGCAAGTATTTATAATTTAAGCCTATACTTTAACTTCTCCTTTCTGTTATCCTCACTAAATTGCAGATGAGATAGCCAATATTTACACTGAGGCTTTTAGAATTTTAAGACGATGCGTGTTTCTGGCTGCACATGTACTTCACATTTAGTTCCTGCTAGCTCGATAGTTGGCTTTGTGATATACTGTTGTTGATGATTTGATTTTGATGCTCCAGTAGCATTACTAAGCCAGCTTCAAGTAACAGTAAATTGTGTTGCCTTTGCCTATTGCTCCATGCTTAAATTCAATTTGACTGTTACTTTAGTTGCATTCCCATGAGCTGTACCTGATATTGCTATTACAAGAGAGTGTGTTTATGTTCTAAATTCTGTTTAAATAAAAAGATATTTGAAACCTTCTCATGACTTGCAGTTACTTCAGACAGAGTGATAATTTGCTTCACATCTTTTTAGGTTATATTAGATCAGTTACCAGTTGCAGATGAAATAAAAGCCCCATCCTGATAATCTTCAGGTGCTGATAGTTCACTTCAGAACTGATGCTTATACTTCTCAAAGATATCAGTAAACACTAGATTATCTGTATATGCTGGCAATTGATGACAATTCTAAAACAATGTTTCCATATGTGGCCATGACCACCATTAATGTTTAAGTTGTCACATTACATCATCATTTCCGATTTCTTGCGTGAATTGCATAACTCAATCCTTCAGAAATCTCTCAGGTGGAACAATCAGACATGTTCGTCTTTTTGGGATTTTTATTCAAACTTAGCACTTTAATGGCAGATTAAACATCTTAGAGACAATTATACTTGTGACATCATGGACTTCTTCCATACATTGGCAGATCCAAATTTATTTTTCATTTCTTGTGGCTTTGCATTTCAACAATGGCCTAGAACAATTTGAAAAAAAAAAAGTAAACCTATTATGGTCCTGTTCATTTTATGTATAAGCATAATGCTCAAAATAGTAAGTATACAATGAAATAGAAGTGTACTATTTTTAAATACATAGTATTTCTAAAAGGGGGAAAAATACGAAAGAAAATTTAGTAAAAGAAACAATAAGAATGGGTCTTAAAAATATCTTTATGTGATCAATTACAAAAATCGCCTTTTCAAATCAAAGCTGTTGTGATTAAGCATTTATTGGATTTAAATGAGGGTCTTAATATGTTACCTTCCAAATATAATTTAAGAATTTTTCTGTTTTATGTATTTTGTAATGTTACAGTGGGTTTTAAGAGCACTGTGTAGTTAACATTCCTGTGCTACCTTAATTTCTGTTTTTGATTTTTTTAAAATTAATAGTTTATCTAAATTTAATTGAAGGGAAATTTTTCATTAGTGTTATTCATCATAGGATATGCCTGTAGTGAAAAAAGTTTCTTCTTAAGGTGTAACTGTATTTTAAGTATTTTTGAGAGAAATACAATATTAAAATGACATAATTATGAGTCATCTAACTAAAATATTTGTTTCAGACAAACCTATATAATGTGGATTTATATGTCCGTGTGTTGACCACAGGATTTTGGCCTACTCAGTCTGCCACACCTAAATGTAATATTCCTATGGCTCCTAGAAATGCTTTTGAAGCTTTCAGAAGGTGAGATTTTGAAAATATTAATGAGTCAAATCAGCTTAGAAAATTATATTCTTTAATTAGAGAATGTAAATTTATGTAGAAATAAGATTTGATATGTCAGTAAATTTTGACAACTGGGGGGGGGGGATATTTTGCCATCTTTTTAAGAAAACAAGTTACTTGTTATATAGCTAATAAGTTACTTCAGCAATAAGATAAATACCATAATTTCCATCTTCAATAAAAGTCTATGCTAAAAAAATACGAAATTAATCAGTAAAGCAGTATTTCTTCTTTTCTAATGATAGAATTAACCTAAATTAATTAATTCAAAATTTAATCATATGTTTGCGAGAATAATGATTATCAACATTGAAACAGCATTTGAGAAATTATAGTGTAATATAAACTTTGCTTGTGTAATTTTAATATGTTTTTTTAATTCAGAAAATAGAATTTTTGAATTTTATCTGTAATGAAATCAAAATTAGATGAGAGATATGGTGGCCTGAAAGGCCACTGGAGTACTTCATATCTTTGAACACATTGTTGGGAGAGTCGCACAGTGTATGGATGAGCGTTGTTTTGCTGATAAATGGCACCTGGGTGACTTGATAGCATAAGCTGTACAACCGGCATTAAAATGTCATCCACGTAACTGCAATCTATCATAGTACCTCGAAGAATGACTAGAGGTAGTCGTATGTCCTAACAAATCGCTCTCCACTCTGGCACGCCTTGTGTAATTGCCAAATACCAGATCGACAACAAATGCTGGATCGGACCGCTGGCCTGGCTGCCTTCACATTCGTGTGCACTGGTCACCAGCACTAGCACTGAATTGGGATTCATCATTGAAGATCACACACCTCTAATCGGTCACAATCCAGCTTGTCTGAGTTCGGCAAAAATCCATTTGACACTGCTTATGATGTGGGGGTCAGTGGTAGGTGTCTTAATGGATGTCGGCAGCATATGCCAGTGCGTTTGCTTTGCTACCACCAGATGTTTGGAAGGTGGTAGATGGTGTCGAATGTATGCTAATGATGATGTTGTTGTAAAAATGACAGTTCTTATTGCGCGATCCTCGTGCTCATTTGTGTTCCTAGGACACCCTGACCCTCTGCAGTAGCAAATTATCCCTTTCGTGATCCATTGTTGCCAAAACCAAGCAACTACCATAGTGCTTCAACCGAGGTGGCAGGTGATACGCTTGTTTGATCAACCTGCTTCTCTGAGGCCTGCTGCACGACCCTTCTCAAAGTCCGACAACTGTTCGTACTGGCACCGATTATGCCTTAAAATCATCTCCAGTCTCAGTACCATCCATCGAAGTTGACACATTCATTTAAATAGTCTTTTGGCATGAGCAGTCATGCTTTTAAACTGTTCCAGCTGCACATCTGATATGTGCATAGCATGCTTACCATTGTCTCTTTGGCATCGAAATTTAAATCATTTGCATATCGCTTACCAGACAACATTTCTGTCAAATTTTGTTATTATGCCTTGATTTCTTCTGGGTGCATATATTAATTTTTGTGACAGAATGTATATGTACAAGGTAAGCATTTCTAGAAAAATACTTTAAGTATTTCCAAACTTTCCAGTTATCAAAAATGCATACAATAAGCACAAACAAAAATTGTAAATGATACCAAAAGAAACAAAGTACTTATGTTTAATTTTTTTAAAAAAAATAGAAAAAATCAAATAAGCAGGTGGGGAAAAAAAAATTAAAACTTAGGATAAGAAGCTAAAATTTGGAATAAATGTTATGGTCTGGAATCCTTTCATAGTTATGGTGATGGCCTAATTCAACTCAACCATTTGCTTTCTAATATATAGGAAATCCAATGCAGAACAAAGTCCAAAATTTGAATGCCTAATATTCAGAATAAACTAATATCCAGATCTCAGGACCATCACCAACTTACATATTATTGTAAGATTCTTTTACCTTCAGATAATTATTTGGAGACACAGAATTATCTATTAATTTTCTAGTGCAAGAATTGATCACAGTTGATTGGATAAGATACCGAAATTTATCCGAAGGAACTGTATTATCATCTTCATGTATTTTCTTAAATAAGGCCCAAAATGGCAAACCCACTTTAATATTTGCAACAGATTTCTTTAACTTAATTTGCAGAAATTTAAACTTTCATTTTTTTTAAATATTTACATTATCAGAAGAATTCGCTACACTATTAGTATCACTTTCTTTATTTTTCATATCTGAAATTATTATAATCTTAAAATAATTATTTAAATAATATTCAATGGACTTTAATTTCCTAAGTTTTTACTTTCTGTCTTGTTAACTAACATTCCATCCATTATTTGATTTTTCAAGTTTGGCAATTCTTCAAATTTTTCCTGTAAAATCTGAAATTTTGATTGTACTTCAATGACATAATCCGGATCCTCTTTGTTGATGTCTTCTTGCCACTTTCCTCTATTTGATTCTCTTTTCCATCTTTACTAATTATGTGCTATCGTTTAGAAATCTATTTGTGGAAATCTATGATCCTTTACTTTGGTTAAAACAGACTCGACTGGTTTTTGTTATGTGGCAAGAAAAACTATTTTTCATAAGAATAATAAAACCATAAATTTATTTATAGAAATACAGGTTTGTTATGAGTTACAGTTTCACATGCTACTAGCTTAAAAAAGAAGACCACTCTTTTGCCAGCTCACTGCAGCTAAGTATTGGCATCAAAATATGTGGCTCATCAGTAGCCAACAGGTGAAAAATTTGCTGCCGTTTCTTCCAGTAGCAATTACCCACAAGTATTTCTGTCTGTCAGACCACATTCTGAAAAAGCTCTCATTTCATCCAATTATAATAGCTTTGAGCCATGTAAATGGAGAATTTTCCATGCTTGAACTAAGATGCAGACCCATGAGTCTAGTCACGGTTTAGACAGTGTGAACTATGAAATGCTGAAGCATCTTTCCTCTAATTAATTGATTGCTGTTCTTACAACCCTTTACAACTGAGTGTGGAAGGAGCATATTTTTCCCAGTGCATGGAAGAAAGTTGTTATTCCGATAGCTATGCTAAGGAAGACCCAAAGAATTGCTCGAACTATCAGCCTAGTGCACTTAGATTGCAAACTATTTGAAAAATGGTAACCAGCTAGTCTTTTTCTTGGAAGAAAACATTATGATCTTGCGTTATCAGAGTGGTTTCCGAAAAGGAAGGATCACAGGTGATAACATGATTCTTTTGGAAATGGCTGTTCATAAAGCCTTCGTAAAAAGAAACCATCTTCTTTGACAGTTAAAATACTTATGATAAGGCATGGTATGCAAGTTCTTCTTGCTAGTGTCTTGTGCAGCAACCTATCAGTTTTTATTCATAACTTTTTAAGGGTAAGAACTTTTGAAGTAAGTATTGCATCTATTTTGTGAGACTTTGAATAAGCAGAGGACGTGCCTCAAGGTTGTTTGCTAAGTTTGACCTATTCAGTGTAAAAATAAATTTTGTATTAAAGAAACTTCCTCCAACTGTTTCAAGTTCCTTGTATCTCGATTGTATCCAAATAAACTGCCATAATGCAGATATGAGATATGTGGAGAGACAGTTGCAGATCACCAGTAATGAAATTAAAAAATGTTCAGTTAAAAAAGGATTTAGGTTTTTACAACAGAAATCTGTTTATATGCATTTTTTCAGAGATCAAGGCCTCCATCCTGAACCCTTTACTACATCTTTACGATCCAGTGATTCCAGTTTCATTAGAAGTGATGTTCGACTGAAAGCTGAGCTTCCTTCTTCATGTCCAGTTTTCGAGGAAGGATTGTTTCAAACCTTTAAATACTTTAAAAGTCCTGCCAAACCTCTGGGTCAGAGCTGCTCTGCTTCATATTCACAGAATCATTAGAATTGATGTTCGACTGAAAGCTGACCTTCCTTCTGCATGTCCAGTTTTTGAGGAAGGATTGTTTCAAAACTTTAAATACTTTAAAAGTCCTGCCAAATACCTAATGGGCTGCAGAGCATTGCTCGTTGCTTCATATTCACAAAATCCTCACTCACTCTAGATTAGCCTCTGGCTCAGTATTTACGGATTCTAAGTCTTCAGTTTTATTGAAACTTGACCATGTTCATAATCAGGTTCTGAAAATTTGCTCTTTAGTTTTCCGGACGTCTTCTATCCAAATACTTCCTATATGTTGATACTTACGAACTGTCTCTTCAGTTAAGGTGCAAGCAATTCTCTCTTTATCAGTATTTCAGTATTATGTCTCAATCTGACCATCATCTCCAGATGTGTAAGGTTGATGCCTGTTACAAGCTTTTGTCTGCTGTTAGCCTCTTGACGTACTTTCTTTGAAAGAACTGGATCATTGATAGAAAAATACTGCTTGTCTAATGTAAAGGCCTAGTCAGTAATGTATCTTGAAATTCTGCCTTGGGAGCAACCCAAAAATTCAGTTTCTGGATGTTTTCCATTATCTCTTTTTTTGGTTTTTTGCATATGTTTCTTGCGAATTGAAAATGGGATGAATTTTAATCATATTATTAATTTTTCATTACGCATACACATATATATATTTATAAATTTAATAAATACAATATTATAATCTCATTTATATAAAGCAAATTAAAATTTTAAATTATGCAAATTCAGTTGCAAACAAAATACATTGATCAATAATTGCTGCAAACTAATTTGCAATTTGCTGCGAACTATATACAGTACAAAGTCCAAGATCCGGAATGATCTGAAATCCGGATCTCAAAGCCACCAACATATTTTTAAAAATAAATAAATAAATAAATAAAATTTAAAAAAAAATTTTTTTTGGTATGCTTTATGCATGCACCTTTGATTCCCTCCCCACGCTCAGCGCATAATAGAACATCTGGAGAGTCCAATTCTTAATTTCACTTCGCCATTACCTCAATATTGAAGAAACAGTTATTTTAGCATAAATTTGTATGATCAATAATTTGGCTTCAGAGATGCATATCTGCTTGGCATACAACTCAAATCGAAACATTCTACATAGATACAGTGTTGATTTTACACCTCATATATTTTATATCCCTGACGTAAACCTGGTGAATCATTATTTATTATATTTTGCTTTCAGCACTATGTGTTTATCAACACATGACAACAACTTGGGTAACGACTCGTGTAGCAATGCCTGAAAAAATTTTTTATGTTAGTAATTGAATAATAAAGAGTATGGTAACCTTTTATGTTGGCATTATCAGAGTTGCCAACTCTCCCGATTTAGGCGGGAGACTCCCGATTTTCGACCGCTCTCCCGCCAACCCGATTTACAATATATTTCTCCCAACATTTTCTTATTTTGATATTTCTCACGATTTTTATGGAACTTGGCTTAATACTTCGTTATATGAACAAACAAAAAAAAAAAAGTGATTTTGGACGTCTGAAAGCAACTGAATTTTCTCTAGATTATATCTAAAATGAAACCTTGCGAATCAGATGAGAATTTCTGCTTTGTGATTGACAGCAACGTATCCAGAAGAAACGTCGTTCTCCAGTTCTCCAATGGGCATCGAGCTCCACTGTGTGTCATCTGGCATATATTAGCCAATAAGCATAAGCAAGCTCAAGGCGTTGGCCGTTCTTTAGATGTTCTTTCGCTATTTCGTTCATCTTGTCTGAGTTGTGAGTACACGTGCCTTTAGGAAATAGTTTTAGAAATTATCTCTTTTGATATGTCTGCGAGAAAGGTGAATACTCGTGCACGTTTCAAAAATCGTACACGTTGACTTTCCTTCCATTATTTCTTCAAGGAAATGTAATAAATTTGCGATGTGTACCATCTGTCATTGCGATTTTTCGATTTCGCTTTGGTGGAAGGGCAGATGTTCTCAAATGTGCATACACATAAACACAAGGACAACATGAGTTGTTTTGAAAAAAAAAACGAAAATTAAATTTTCTTCGGAAACAAAAGACCAAAAGTCATTAATGCAGAATGTCTGTTCTCTGCCTTTTTACTGGAGCACAACCTGCCACTGAATGCATCGGATCACGCTGCAGCTTTATTTAGAAAAATGTTCCCGATAGTGAAATCGCTAAGAAATACTCAAGTGCAAGGACCAAAACAGGTGCAATGTTAAAGAAATGGTTTGAAAAATAAATCTTCAGCTATTGATTGCCATTAAACAGCTCCGTTCTGCCTCTCTACGGATGGAAGCAATAATACCAATTCAAAACTGTATCCAATTGTTGTTTCTTTTTTAATCCAGAGTCTTCAGAAATTGAGTGCAGTTTACTTTCTGTCCCCACTTTAGAAGAATATTCGACAGGCTTAATATAGCAAAGCTAATTATTAAAAACTTTAAAATTAAATGCAGTCCTCTGGATAATTCCTTAGCGCTTGGTGCGATAATGCACTGATGATGGTGTTGCAGGCATCTTAAGAAAGGCAAATTCGATTTGCAGATTATGAGGTGCACCTGTCACCTCTTAAATTTAGCAGCTGAAAAAAGGGCAGCTTCTTTACCATTAAAGTGGATGAACACATTGTTATTATTTATTATTATCTTGAAAGGAGTTCTAAAAGAAAAGAAAAATTGAAACAGTTCCAAAGCTGCATAATACTGAAATGAGGAAAAAATTTTGAAACGGTGTACACGCTGGTGTCTTAAAGAAATGTTACTAAAATCCTCGATCAATGGAACCACTTCTTGCATTTTTTAAAGAAGAAGTAATGCTTCGAGAGTTTAAGATAAAGGCTCTATTGAAAGTATAATAAAGTAACCTAAAGTAAATAAGATGTAGTTACTATTCCATTGTTAAAAATGGGTAATTTGAGAAAAAATAAAGTAATTTCTGCATCATTCAGCAATTCAACTGGCAGTTCTCAAAAAATACTGCAAAATATAAGCGTAAAGCTGATACAAATTTCTCTCAAATAAAAAAAAAAAATTGCTCAACACACGAAACATTTTCCGATTACTGTAAGAATATTTATGTTTTTTTTCGGACCTTAACAAAGCTTTTGCTCTTTGTTACAATTCTTTTGCCAGCATTCGATGTTTGAACACAATCTACAAAGCAGAATTCCATTAATCATGTTTTGCAATCAATGATTTATGATCTGTTTAAGACATTTATCAAAGTTTGTAAACCAGTCTGTGTTTTGTCGTGTAATTTATATATGATGTGATTTATGGTGAAACAGAAAATCAGACGAAAGATGAAGATTGGTAATAGGAGCTGCAACTACAAAGTAGGGAAGAACTTTCAGAAGAAAAACAAAAGTAAGTTTTATCTTCATGTTAGAAGTTACTTCTGTCGAGTATGTGATTACACACTACATAAATTTCCAGTCAATGATGAAGTGATTTTGCCATGCTAATTGCTGATATTTCTGCTCTAGCAATGCATCTTTTTCTGATATAAGGTACTTTTTGAACAGATCCTGTGTTACTTCGTTAGTCTGAAAGATGATGATATTGATGTTGATACTGATATACTTCAGACGCAATTTTGCAGTTTACAATAGAAAACTTGGATGAAGTTATAAAATCAGCTAGGATTGACACCCAGTGAAGGTTAATTGGAAAATTGAAAGGTGCTAATGGAATTTTAAAATATAGTGAACTCTCTAGAATTATGTTGGCCATCTTGACAGTTCCCCATAGTAATGCGGAGTGTGAGAGGATTTTCAGTGTTGTTGTGAAAACGAGAACTGAATTTAAATCTAATATTAGTGATGACACATTAGAAAAAGTTTTATTAGCGAAAGCAGGCCTACATGGCAATTGCTATGAACAAAATTATGAAGTTTCTTTCTTAACGAGAGCAAAATCTGCCACTGTCCATAACATTCGTATGAAAACTGATTAAAGTGCCTTTTTTTATTATTATTTTTTTTTATTTTATTTTATTATTTATTTTTTTTAAACGAGATGAAAGTAATAAAAAATGTTTTTATGTCTAAGGTATTTTGTTTTGCTTGCATTTAAGACTTAGTAACTATTTAAAGTTAATTCATTATTAAAAAAACTATATTTTTATCATTTAAAAAGTCTTTTTAACATTGTGAAAAATCTCCTGATTTCTTAAAAAAATCTCCTGATTTTTGAGTGTCATAGGTTGGCAAGTATGCATTATGCTTGCCGATGATTACAGATTTAAGTTCAATGCACTAAGAAATGTTGACGAGGAAAAATTTAGCAAAAATATCTTTCCATATGCTAAAAATAGATTTTGTTAGTCACACTCATAGGCCAAAAGATTAAATTCAGTGCTATTTGACTAAAGAATAATGGATTTGTTATTCATATAAATTCAGAACCAGTGCTAGGGAACGTGGTCACACCGGGTGGCAGAATTTAGGGAAGACAAAGGGAGGCACTTGGTAGCAGAATTTAGGACCCACAGAGACTGCATCAGGTGGTAAGATATCTAGCGCCGGCCCTCAGTAAGCCTTAAGTATATGTGGGAATTTATTTATTCAGGACTCTGATAAGTCTGATAAACATTTATTATTCAGGACTCAGATAAGCATGTGCAAGAAATAGACCTAAGTATAATAAATAATTAAGCTAATACAATTCAGGCTTAATTGTTTCGGTGCAAAATAGAAGCAAGATAAAATTTAGTGGAGCATCTTGTCTTTAGTTGCCACTTTCATGATGCATAGCCAAATATGTATAGTGAACGGGAGCTAAATTTTATGATGATAGCTGCGAATTTTAAAGGTTTTCAGATATCGCAAACCAAAGGTGAGATTTTCCAACTACCGGATTCTGTAAAGAAATGTGAAGAAGCGGTAATAAATGAAGATGATATAAAAGAAGTTTTTCATTGTGATGACAATGCTCCTCAATCATCAGTCAACTAATGAATGGTGAAATATGTAATATGGTTCTAGATCCAGAAAATACCGCTACCAATAATAAAGAAAGTGACAGAGAAGTTACTAAAAATAAAAAAATTTTGATTGACAAGTTAGTCGGGATTCTCAGCACAACAATTACAGGACTTCAACAATGTAACTGAATAAGAAATTATATCTGTTTACAGAATTCAAGGGAAAGTATTAAACAAAGCCAAAAAAAAAAAGGGGGGGAGTAAGTTAAACAACTTACATTGAAATAAATGTTTAATAAAGTAAACAAATAAAGAATAAGCTTTTTTTGATACCCTTTAGATCATAAATGCTTCTTTATTTCATAAATCACGATTTCTTATTTTTAATTTTATTATTTCTACATGCCATCTTACTAGATTTAAACTGATGATCTAATATCCAGAAAAACCCCAAATCTGGAATCACGGAAGTCCCGATGAGTCCTGATCTCGGACTTTACACTGTTTATATGCACACACACACGTTGAGAAATGTTAGTTGTAGTATCTTTAAGTACACGGGCATTCAGCTTGCCGCATGACAGTTAAATAAGTGTATGTGTTCGAAAAAAGTCAAAGTAGAAGGATCAGTTTGGAATTATAATCAAGAAAATACCACTTTTGCCCTTTTGGGGAAACTTTGGGGGTTTTGTGACCATGTCCTTGGCTGATTGGAGTTGATTCTTTCCCTTCTCTTTTGAGAAAAAAACTAGACGTACTGCTAAAAGTAAATTTAATATCTTTTAATTATTCAAACCTAGTAGTTTTTTTGTTTTTGTTTTTTGTTTATTATTTATTATTTTATTTTACATTTAAAAGCTATTGACATTTACATATGAAATCATAGATGCAGGATGTATTGTTTATATAGCACCTGTTTTTTTCTTCTGGGTTTTTATTTACAAAACACAGTTATGTATGCAAATTATTCAACTTCTAGAAAGCATTTTTTTAAAACCAATTAAGCTATATTTCATAAGTTTTTTTTTTTTCTTTCCAAGGTTCTATTTGGCTAAACATTCCGGACGCCAGCTAACTTTACAGCCTCAGCTTGGTTCAGTGGATTTAAATGCTGTATTCTATGGGCCTCGAAAAGAAGAAGGTGAATCTAAAGATGGTACTTCTGCCATTCCCTTATCATCAGAACGTAGTAGCTCACCTCGTAAACATATAATCCAAGTATCAACATACCAGATGTGTGTTCTGATGCTTTTTAATTCTAGAGATCGTTTGACATATGAGGTAAGAAGTAATAAAGTTTTTTTTTTTTTTTTTTTTTTTTTTTTTTTTTTTTTAATCTTTCATGTGTATGGTGTATAGTTATATACATTAAAATTCTTCCATGCTGAGATGTTTCTTCTTGCTACTGTAGTTTTTTATAAAAGCATGTTCTTTTGACAGATTTTTGGAAATTTTTTAAATGTTACTTTTTTTTAATGCTATCAAGCTGTACAAATTTTAATCAGAAAATGCATTGAAAATTGTCTCAAATGTTATCTTCTGTTGCTATTCAGATAATGAGTAATTTATTTCCCCTTTCTTGTGAACTTGATATATGCCTTTTTATCCTCTATAATCTAAAATATTCTGAATCAGACATAAAAGCTTAGCTACCAGCAAATCTGTTTAAATTATCAAGAGTTTGAATGGTTGAAAGTATTTCATGAAAAATAGGAGATAAAAGAGATTTATTGAAAAAGGAAGTAACTCTGTAAGTTTAGCAAGTTCATTTTGCCTTAGCTGCTAGCATAGATCTAGTTATTAACAAATTTCATGCTGATGCAGCTTCAATGCAGCATAATAAGGCTTGTTGTAAATCCATGTGTGCTATTTGTTTGTATCTGTTCTCATATATATTTGACCTTAACAAATTTTTCTTTATCCTGTGATAAAATGGAGTGTTAATTTTTCAGATAGATAGACAATTATCCTTTTTGTTCCAATTTCATTTGATATTTTTGACTTACATTTATGGTGCAACACTTTTTTTAACAGTTTCTGCTTTAGAAGTTTCAGGGGAGGTAAGGTAATCTTCTTAATTTTAGAATTAAATTTTAATATTTTCCACTTGGAGTCACATTTAATCAATTTAGTCAGGCTAATTCTGTAGTGAGAAAGTGTAATATCTTAATGAACCTAGAAGAGGATTTTAGATATTTAGCTCATTGGTGTATAATATTGCTTTGTAGCCAAGGAATTAGTAAAACTCCTATTGAATGTATTTATCCTGGTGGTATATTTAATACCTCGTATGTCCTGGTATGTTTGCTTTGATATCTGCTGAGGGGAATATTCTTAGAAATTCTGCAATTAAAAAAAAATCTCTTGCATATTTTCTGGAGAATAAGAAGCAAATTAGAATTTATGAGAACTAATAGAAATAAAAATATTTGAAAAGCTGAAAATGAAGTTTATATATATTAAATTTGAACCTTTCATCTAACTAATACTTGAACAGACTTGGCAAGTAAATATCAGACTAATTGTGTAATTAAAAACTAAAACTAATGCCAAGTCCAAGATCTGGAATTGTCAGGACTTTGGAAATTACCAGATTTTAGATCATCAATTTTAACCCTCTGACCATGGGTACAAAATTCATGAAAACATTAAAAAAAGAATACACCTTTTCTTCTTGTGAAACTGTTTGCAGTTCAAATCCCAATTTCTGCCAACACGATTAGAGTGTCCTTAGCATTATTCAGGATAAACAATAATTGCATTATTGATGGATCTTGCATCCGGATGTTAAATCTAGTAAGATAACATATAGACATAGCAACACTGGGACTTCACTTATTGTCAGATGGGAAAATGCTAACCTCGCCTTCTACACACAACTACTCAAGGGCTGCAAGTGTGATCCCGGCCAATATCAACACAAGATCAAGCAATATATTGTCAGTGGCCATGTACCACTTCCTTACCAGCAGTTGTTTGAAAGGGACATCCTGAACTGTGAGCATGCTTGCTTCTTTTTGTTGAGTATTATATTCTTCATTCCTAGATCTTATAAGAGCAGAGGTTATTATTATTATTATTTTGGTAGGTGGCCTGGATATTGGGCATCTGAAATTTCGACTTTATAATGTAATCCAGAAGGAGAATCCCATTCTAATGTTTAAAAGAGATTTTTTATTTCTGATTGATGCTAACATACTGCCACAGTTTTTAAACCATGCTAGAGATATTAATCAAGTTAAAATATGAATAAAAATTATTGCCTTTCATTGACGTAAAGAACTTTTTTTAGTGATAAAAGTATCTTATTTGTGCAAAAATAACTGCTGTATGTTAAAATATAGCATTAGAATTTTGGTGAAATTTAATTGCAGCAATACTATATGGATTTTTTTTAACATTGTCTAACCTATTTTAAATATGTTCAGATATAAAAATCAGTAGTAATAAAGGGGAGAATCTGTATCATTATAGCCTCTTATGTTTTTACAAAATTTTATAAATATCATTAGATTTTATTTTTGTTGAAAGAGGATAGGAAGTCTCTAAAGAGGTGCATAATGTTTTGCCTTAGCTATATAGTTTATTAACTGATTATGTGTTTTTTGTTGCATGTTCAGTATATTAATAAAAATTAAGCTTAGCGTATATTTTTATCTCTAAACTTTAATTTAAATAGCTTGATAAACCATTTTAGCTGGCTCCACGTTTCTTGCAATGGATCTGAGTTTTGTGTGATTTATCTATTAGGTTTATTTCACCCAATAATGAAGTATAATAAAATTTTAATCTTTTAGGAAATTTCCAGTGAAACAGATATTCCTGAAAAGGATTTAGTTCGTGCGCTGCAACCCTTAGCATTGGGCAAAACAAACCAGAGGATCTTAATTAAAACTCCCAAAACGAAAGAAATTGGTATGTATTCCATTAATCATTTGAACAAATAAAAATTATTAGAACTTAAAATTTAATTTATCATTAAGTAGTGTAATGTTTATTAATGTATTTAAAATTTTTCATTTGTATTGCGTTTGTAATTTAAAAAAAAATTTTTTTTTTTTCAGAACAAACTCACCAGTTCATTGTTAATGATTCTTTTACATCCAGATTACATCGAGTTAAAATACAATCAGGTAATATTGCCACTGTATACCCTTCTCTTTCTTTCTTAAGTAAAGGAATAAATTGGTCAAAAAAATATTTTTTTAAATATAAGAAATGTATTTTAAATTACTTATATTGCTGCTGTTTTTTTACAGTAAGCAAATCTAGTAAAAGATATTATGTGATATGCCTTTTTTCATATTTTGATCAGTTGCGGCTAAAGGTGAATCTGAACCTGAAAGGAAAGAGACAAGAAGCAAAGTTGATGAAGATAGAAAGCATGAATATCCTTTCCTATTATATATTTTAATATTCATTAATGTTATATCATTTGGTAAATAGACAGAAAATTATTAAAAAAAGAAAAGATTATCCATTTTAAGAATTAAAGTATTAATACTTGTAAATTAGGATTTCAGCAAGCCTTAAAAGATATGTTATTTTATTAGAAGTAAATATATTTCATAATGTATAAATATTTAAGTAGATTATGAATCAGTAATTAAATATATAATTAGGTTAGAATTATGAATCATATCAGTAGCTGCTAATAAATAAATACTTTGCTTTTTACTTACTGAATAAATATTCTGCTTTTTGTTGTGTTATACGTAACTATTAACTCTAAAATTTCTATGTTAAAATTAGAATAGTAAGCAATGTAACTGTAATGTGATAAATGCTATAGTATTATGAGTTTATATGTATCTGATAAGTAGTATTATCAGGTTTTGATCTGTAAGGTGAAATCACTTAGATATTTTCCAGTTTGTGTTTTATATTTTAATTGATTTTTCTGTGTAAATCTTCCGTGTGTTGTCTAACAACTAGTATATGTTGGCAGAATGATCTTACTTTAAATTATATTCTTATAAAAAAATAATTTAGAAAATTAATGCTGTCAAACATGTCATTCGACTTCAATTATCAAGACTTAAATAATATGTGAAGCTTTGTTTGTGCAAATCCTTAATTTTTTCGTAAGATAGAAGCTGCTATTGTAAGGATAATGAAAGCCAGAAAGCGTATGGCACATAACATCTTGGTAGCTGAGGTAATACCATTAAAAGTTCATTTCTTCATTGTTTAGTGCCTGAAAAATTCATACAACTTTGTTATATTCATATCATAATACATATACAAGAGGTGAAACTGAAAATTTTTAGAAAAACAAAAATTAAACATGTTAGATTCTCAAAGTATGCTTATTTTTTTTTCAAAGAATGTCTGATTGCATTTGAATATATTTTGTCATCAGCTTAAACCATTCCTGAACTTCTTGTTTTATCTGTTATGATGTTTTGGATTGCTGTTGGTAAAATTTGTAAAGCATTTTCATGCAATTTTTTAATGATACTAGTTTTAATATTGTCATTAATTGGGAGGGGGAGATCTTTTTGCGACAAAAATTCCAAACAGCTAGGAGATAGGTGTTCAAATTTAACTCAAACATTCATGAGTGCATAAATTTCCATGTGCATCATTGACTTGTCATATAATGCAATTTTTCCATGTTTTCCTGTGTTGTTGCAATTACAGGATAATTGACACTTTTTTCATCAACCAGCTTTTGTTTAAATTCAGTGAAATTTACTAAACCAATTAAAAATAATCTAATGATGTAAAACCATCTTGAAATGCAAGTTAGAGTCATTTGTACTTTTCCTGCTATGTCATATGTCTTACCCAAAAAGTCATTGGTCTAAAGTGTTGTGGTATTAACTCCATTTTTATTTTGAAAAACCAAAACCATTTTATTTTAAGCACAACACAAACTCATGGTCACTTGTGGTCTGAAGTGTTGTGGCATTAACTCCATTTTTATTTTGAAAAACCAAAACCATTTTACTTTGGACACAACACAAACTCATAGTCACCTGTGCTCTTGTGCCATGGACTCGTGCACATTGTGATATCTTTTAGTATCATCTCATATAACATAACATAACATAACATAACAATAGGGGCGCTTCCTTCTTATGAAAAGAAGAAAACGAGTTTTGGCAAAATTGCCTATTACTCTTCCGCCATTTGATCATTTAAATCAAGGGATTTAAATGGTAACTCCTGTAAAAGGTAAGTAATAAATAGATAAGATCTCAAACTGACACAAAATCTATAGTATCAGCAAAAGATCCCATCTCTAAGTTCAAGGTGTCGGCTGGATCGTGAAACTTCCCTATTGGATGAAAACCGATTCAATCCCTCCCAAACCACAAACGCAAATTCTTGACCAAACAAGAGTGCGATGGAGAGTCAAATAAATAAATAAATAATAAGGAGGCAGAGGTGCATTCTCAAGCAATGGCCAGGTAGTGTATAAAGATTTGATATCTGTTTTCAAATTATATTCCCAAACACAGCTATGAGAGGGAAATCCCTGCATAGTTTCTTTCCCAAAAAAAAAAAAAAAAAAAAAGAACTCATAGGCGTCTCAATGCTTGTTTCTTGTGGTTTCATATTTCACCTTACCTGTAGTGTTTAGTATACATCAGAACCCTATTATGCCAGAGAGCCCTTTGTATAAAAGGGCTTGATCAAAGGTAATATAGGGAAACCCAAGGAATTTGTTTCTAGGGACAGAGAACCCGGACATCGTCCCAGAAAGTGAAAAGGTGTTTCCTCTTCTTCTCCACTAGCTGGGCAGAGAGGAGATTCGACAAGACCACATTTGTGGAGATGCTTAGCTAGATAAGCATGTCAAGTAACAATTTGAATTACCTGGCATAAGTTAGTTCTACTGAGGTGTATGAGTGTACCTGAAAAGTTAAGTGTATTGAGCACCAATTTAGAATGAGCACAGTCTGGTAGTTTAGACCATATATCATCATGTTTGTTCTTTATCCAGCTTCTTACTTCTTTTTTTAACCGTTTGATATGAAACTGGGTAAAATGGTTCTGGGCCAGACATGGGTAGTGCGAACATCTTTAGCTACTTTATCAGCTAGTTCATTTCCAGCAAAATCACAATGACCTGGGACCCAGACTAAACTAATGGTATTATGGGCCTGAGCCAGAGAATTGAGATCTTGAGTACAGTTCAAAACACAGTTTTGTAACTTGACACAATTAGCCAGGGCAAGGATGGCTGATTGGCTGTCAGAGAGAATATATATATACTTATCAACTGTATTTTTAGCTAAGAGCTCCCTGGCGACCATATTGATCGCCAGAACCTCGGCTTGGAAAACAGTTGTTAATTTACCAAGGTATAGATGAAATCTAATGAAATCTTCTTCAGATCCCTTGGTTCTTATAATAGCTCCAGCTCCAGTGAAGTGGATTTTGATCCATCTGTGTAACATTCAATTGATCCTGTTGGAATTAGGTCAATTAGAGATTCTATCTCATTCCTTTTTGGTATATGAGTTGAGAATAGTTTATCTGGAACTATTGTTTTAGTAATTGCATCTTTGGGCGTATAGATTATAGGGATCTCATTGCCCAAGTCCAGACATATGTCAATGTGGCTTTTCAGGTGGCTTTTATGACCAAAACCTGTCCTTTGGCACCATGTGCCATTTTTATTCAATCTATACATGGCTTTAATTGCTTCTCCGCTCAAGAATAATTTCAAGGGTGGAATTTGCAGTAAAAATTCTAATGCAGCAGTAGGGGTACTATTTAAAGCCCCACTAATGCTTAGGCAAGCAAGTCTTTGCACCTTTTGTAAAATGTTTAAATACGTGCTTTTGTTAATAACATTAATCCAGACCATGCATCCGTAAGAAAGCATTGGCCGGACTATGGCAGTATAAATCCATAGAGTAGATTTTGGGTTAAGGCCTCATTGTTTACCAACGATTCACCTACAAAGTACTAGAACATTTGTGGCCATTTGTGCCTTTTCTTTTATATGGGTGATCCATGTAAGTTTACTATCCAGGTAACATCCTAGGTATTTAACGCATTCCTTACGCCTAATAATCTGGTACGCTAATAATCTGGTAACCCAGATATAAATCTGCCAGTTTCCATTTCCTTCTCCACGTGAAAACTATGACCTCAGATTTTTCAGCAGAGAAAGAAAAGGCCATTTGTTATCACCCCAGTGTGAAACTTTATTTAAGATCTGCTGAGCTTGATTATGTAGGGTTCCGATATCGAAACCGTGTAATAACACAATAAGGTCATCTGCATAAGCCTGTGACATGCCAGGTTCCTCCCGTAGAAGTACTAAGAGTGAGTAGTATCATCTCATGTTGCTAGATCTAAAAACTTTCAGTGTTATATATTAAATGAAATATTGAATATGTTCTCATTTCTAAATGAGATCTTTTTTCATGTAGTAAGTATAACTTTGTCTACTAATTGGCAAACTATACGTAAAATTCAAAAGAAGTTGTAACTGTTATTGCTGTTGCTAGTCTTTACATCTTATATCTAGTTTTGATACACTTTTAGTTATTATTCAGTTATTTGACAAAAAATTTTTAAAAATAAATAGTTATTTTTCTAGGAAGAGGTAAGTTTTTAAATGCTTCCAAATTAATTGAAGTAATTGGTAAATTATAAATTGCTTATTTTTTATAACCAAGAAAAATCAGAAAATGTTCTGTCTACTCAGTTTTTCAAACTGTGTAAAGTATTTTCTCTCTTCTTTCCACATACCTTCATATTGTAATTGGAAGCATACTCGACATGTATTCGTGATGTCCTGGCGATGGCATTGCACATTTTTGACATCTCTTGCTTTAAAAAATGCCTGATGACTCTACAACTGGCACCTAAACTAAAAGTTGGTGATACCAGGATTTGGTGTTTGGGTCTCCTCATCCTCAATTGCCCTTTAAAAGGGGGAGCATATAAAATATTTTCTCTCGCCATTCCGCTCACCTTTATGGTATAATTGGAAGCATGCTTGACACATGTTCGAGAGGACCAGGGTACAAGTCCTGGCAAGGGCATTACACATTTTTCATGTGTCTCCTGCTTCAAAATAACTTAAGACTCTACAACTGAACATTTAACATTCTTAAGACAAATTAAAAGTTCTCACGTATTTTTCAGAATTAGTTTTAAAAAATAATCATTTATCATACTTGTAACATAATCTCATATATTAAATGACTGAAATTTTAAAATTGTTTTGCGAGAAATAAAATAAACTCATATATATTAGCTTTGTGCATTAAAGCTATTATATTTGATAGATAATTATGTACCTAAATAACATATTTTATGACAATATAAATAAATATTTTTTCTTTGAATGTGCTGCTAAATGATAAGTTACTTTAATATATTTCTATAATTAAAGTTGTATGAAACTGAGATAGGTAAATTTTTAGAGGGGCATTTTAAAGAGCAGGGAATTATACATGTAGTGTCTCTTGTCAGTGGTAGAAATTGCATCTGCAGAGTTTCTTTATTTAGGACGGCACATTTAATTACATTAAAACATATACATATTTTCATAATTATGTAATACAATAAACTAAGTTCACTTCTTTAATATAATATTCTTTCATCTTTAAAACAATTACTATTGTTTATTCAACACTTCTGTAGCCCAACTCCAAATGGAACCAGAGTGAATCTCAATAAGTGCAACTCCGTTATCTGGCGTTCGACGTCGGCACCTCATGCATATGAGCTAATGTTGTGCCTATTTTCTAGAAATACTGCATTTCATAAAATGATTAATTAAAAATGGGCTAAGCAGGCTAAGCTTTTAAGATTATTATTAAGTGAAGTTTTTTGAAAACAAATTGAAAACTTTGTGTTTTGAACATAAATTACATATTTTTGTTAACTGAGAGTAAGTGTATTACTTCTCACAGAATACTTTGGCTAATACTGTGGATTTTTATTTGGTGGACTTAAGAAGAGTTTGACTAGTGACAATTTTTTTTTTTTTTTTTTTTTAACCCCAGTTAAAACAATCTCTTTCACATTGCCAGATCTAAGAGCTTATTGATTAATTCCAAATCCAACTTATTATTTCTTTAATCCAGATTAAAGATTTAAGAAAGGTTTGGTTTACTAATTTGACTAGTGTTTTCATAGTTATAATTAATTAACTTACTGAATATTTATAATAATATTTTGCCATTTTATGTTCAGAATTACGAGCAGCAATGATAGTACAGTTAACAGCAGCTGTGAATGGCCTTGTTGCGTGCAATATAAAGAATTTTACAAAGGAAATTTCCTGTAGATAATGTTTCATGAAAGTATTCTTTTCCTTATGCTGATAAACACTTAAGAGCTTCAATAAAATATGTGACTATCATTTTGAGAACACTTTCTCATAAAAATGCCGTCTCTTAAATGTTACTAAACAGGAATTATAAGATAAGTTCTTTACATGTGTTAATGAATATCATATTAGTTTATGAAAAGAAGTTTTATAGAGTAATGCTGAGAAATAAAAACTTTAAAAATAGAAATAATATTTGTTTGGAATTCTAAACTATTTATTTGAAATTTATTGTAATTGAATAAGGTTAATAATAAGGTGAATATTCTTTAAATGAAAAGTGTAATGGATTTAAAATAAGAGAAAATAAGTTTCATTGCTAGTATTAAGTGAAGTTTATATCTTTTAGGAAAAGTGATATTACTGTATTGTACCTAGAAAATTATTTAAATATTTAGCTAACTTTGAGGAAGAAAACTTGGAAGTAAATGGAGGCAAAGTTTTTTTTTTAATTGCCTTTAAAATTACATTTAAGTCATTATATAATGGAATTCACTAGTTTAAATCTGAGCAAAAAAGTATAATTTAAGTTAACTGGTTTTAAAAAATTAATTTTTTCAGTATGCCTTTATCAGTGCTGTCTTAACAGCTTTATCGTCCCTGGGCAAACCAGTATGCTTGGGTTTTTAATATGACAACCACTCTCAGAAATGAAATGTTAATGAATTAGCATGGCATCCATATGCTTGTGGAGGCCCTGCACAAGTGCCCAGCAAGCCTATGCATTACGATGGCTCTAGCCTTTATGCAAATCAACTATGCCAACCGTTATTGAGTAATGAAATTTTAGAGAATTATTATTTATTAGTAACCAAAAGAGTCAAATAAGTGAATATGCCTTCAAAGAGTTCATGAAGCATAAAGTTAAGTATGCTTGTTTAAACTAAAAGTAGTTATTTGCATTTGAAAACTGAAAGTAAAGCAGTGACATTTGTCTTTGTTTATCTGTTCATGCAAAAATTAGATTTTAATATCATATACTATTTGATTTCTTGATTAGGTTACAGAACAGTTAAAATCAAGGTTTTATCCCAGTCCTGTGGTCATTAAAAAAAGAATTGAAGGCCTAATAGAAAGAGAATACTTAGCTAGAACAGCAGAAGACAGGTATTTTTCTTTTTTTTTTTTCTTTCTTGTGATTATTATCTTAAAAATTTAACCCAGTGTGGATGCAATTAAATTTAAAACTAATTATCATTTCAGGAAAATATATACTTATGTGGCATGAGAAGTAGATCTACAGATTTACTTGTGATGTATGGACCTTTTATTGTGATGAGATGCACTTCATCGCTTAAGGTTTTTTCATGTGCTTATTGAGAACTTTACAGCATATGAATCAACTTTCTTCAGTCTTTATGTGCTCATTTTTGAGATACAATTTCAAAATCCTGTGCCAGAAGGAAATACAAGATCTTCTACATATGACTGATGAACAATGAATCCTGTTGTGTGTTTCCTTTTTGCTCAGCCAGTTGACTAGAGCGACAGATCTCATTGTAGTTATTCACAAATTGCAATAACTGCTATATTTCTGATTTTCAGATTGGAACCAGCACTGTTTATTGCATCTTAGTGTTTAAAGATTTTCAAACCAAATTTTAAAGTTTCTAATTAAACAATGCTATTTTACATTGCAGCAATAAATTTCTTTATAAGAAGATTCACTTGTTTCAAAAGCATCAGAAATTAAAAAAATTAAGTAATTTTTTGATCTGTAGAATAAAGTAATTTGTAAAAAGAAAGTATTGTTTTATTAAGAAGAAGCCTTTTATTTATTTTAATTATGTTTGAAAACTATTCATAATTTTACTACATGTAAAATGTGTTACTTTCATTATGTAGTTGGATTGCTGATCATTTATAAAGAACAGCTGCAGGCTATGTTCTATCATTTTACACATCTTTCACATTTTATTTGCTCTTTTGACCTGATAACGAAATAAAATTATCATTTTATTGTTAGAGTCTTTTCTACATAAATTCAAGTTTAAAAAAAAATTGTGCATTATATTTCAAATTTTTGAATATACAAATCAAGTATAGTTCCATATTTATATTTAGGAAGATTTGATGTCAAATAATTTGAAACTGTTGTGTATATTTTTATGAAATTGTGGCCATGTTTAGTTTATTGAAGAATGGAAATATTTTCTGAAAGTATTGTTATTTATATTGGATAATATGAACTTCTTGCATAAGAACTGCAATTAAATATCTACTGTGTGTACAGATTCTTATCAATTTTCTCGCAAAAAAAGGAAAAAGCTTACATTCTCTGGAGAATGAATCAGTTGTTTGATTCAAATAATATAATTTGTTACATGTCAGGCTTTGAGCTTGTCGGGAAAAAAATGTATAATAATGTAAATATGCCCATGTGAAGGGTTATGTAATTAGTGGGCAACATAGGTAGTCCTTTCCTAGTTTTGATAAATCATTCCTGCCTCCATTTGTTAAATTACATTTTTGTCACATCTGTTCTAAGTTCAAAAGCTTTAAAGTGTACTGGCCATTAAAGTTTGAATGTCAATCACCAAGGCAGTGTTTAATCAGTTCTATGCCTCCTGAAGTATTTTATTTACATCTATATTTAATTGTTGGTGCTTCTGATTTAAGGTAATGCTTGTGATTACAGGAAAAATATTGATTGAATGATACTAAAAATAATTATCTATCTGTTTATAAAATACTGTTAAATATAACAGCAATAATATGAAAAGAAAACAAAAAAAGGAATGTGGATGTGCTACGTATCGCAAGAACTCAATATGGAAGCAGTTTTTTTAAAGAAATTTGACTATATTTTTCTATAATACTTTTTTTTTTTTTTTTTTTTTTTTTTTTTGTTTTGTTAAATCAATATTATTGCAAAATTTTAAGGCTTTAAAAATAAGAAAAGTTGAAATGCTATATAACACCAGCTCACTTATGAGTAGAGCTCAATGAGGAAGCACAGTTGTTTTTAGATATTTGACTGTGTGTCATAAATTTTATTAATAAGCCTAAGAATGTAATTATGTAACCAAAGCATCAGAAATGAAATTTAAATTTTAAGTTAAAAAATTTCATTTGAAATGTAGTAATAAGATTATTGAAATTTATTCAGGAATTATTTGAATGAGTTATTTATTTATGAAAGCCTTAAGCTGTTTAGAAATGTTATTTGTAATTGGATTTTTCAAGTGTAATTGTATAAAATTTTAATAATGTGTTCTTCACTGTCTTATTTTAATTGTTGATATTGGATTTTGCAAATAGAATATACATATAGCCATTTAAATAAAACTGTATTTAAATTAAATAATTCTTGTTCTAGAAAAGTTTCTTTCTTTCTGAGGGGGGTAGATTATTATAGTCTGATTTTACACATATGTATATGTGTGTATGATTGAAAAGACTGAAGACTGTTAGTTTTGAGATGTAAGATGAATATAAAAGAAAAACTAATCTTTTTCTCATTGCAGATTCAGATGATTTCTATATGATTATTCTTTAGGTCACAAATGGCACATTCAATTGTTAGCATATCCATCTCTCATACGAATACTAACCCAAACTGTTACAGAACATGGCAATTTAGGTATTGTTTTCATATGCATTTACATGAATTGTAGAGCAAGTGGTTTCTTTAGCTGTATTTAATACACTTTTACAATTTAAAACTTTCTTCCAAAAAATTAACCACAGTTAGCCCATCTAAATTGTATAGAAGATAAGCAGAACATGTAAAATATTTCTGCATGTAATAATTTCATGATTATTGAGTATTTTAGCTGAAATCGTGGAATATATTTTCTATCACTCTTTGGTATGATAATTTTCATAAAATATTATCAAGTGTTTTTGATGATATATTGGCGTGTCTAATCATATTTTGTCAAAAGATTTTTGCATTTGAAAGATAAAAGACTTGCTGTAGAACACTGTGTTGTGAAATTTGTAAAAAAAAAATATCGTTATCATTAAGTACAAGGTGTCTGAAATAAAACTATGACGATACCAGATTAGAACTATCATTTACGATACCAGATTAGTTCTGTTGCAGAATGTCACCAAATCATGTTTACAGCTTTAGGTACCAGGCATGAAAGTGCAAGTTGGCAGAAAAAGCTGAACAACATGCGGACACAAAATTACGCAAAAACTAAATGTGCACGCATGACCTAAAAAAAACGTATTTTAATAAAATATCAACCTTTTAATATAAAAAGTATTAAACATATACGTATAATTAAACTAAAATAATACTTGTACTTACTATTTATCTTCCACTTAAAAAATAAATAAATAAATAAATCAGTAAATCACCAAGAGATTGTATGTAACTTAATTTAACATTTGATACATGAATACTGTACACAACATTACAACACACTAATATACATATTTATGTTATATATTACTGCCCATTTTCAGGCAATGACAAGTTTTAGAGATAAAATAAATATATATATAACTGTTGCTGTAGCTTTCAATTATCTTCACTTTTAGTTCAATAAACAGTACTTTATATAATACCAGAAAAAGTAGTCATGTGAGATAATATAGTTATAAAATAACACATATAATTAAAGGAGGAATATAAAAAAATAACTATTTTGTCTCAGTCTCACTCGATCCTGATTAAAAATTTTCTTTTTTGCTACTTTTGCAGCCAACTTTTCTAATTTCCGTTTGCAAGCTAGTCTCAATTTCTTTTCAGCAGCTTTTATACAATCCATTGATACCTTTTTATTTTCTGCAATGTTTAATTGCTTTTTTTTTTAGATTCTTGCTCTTCTTTGTACAGTTTATGAGCATTCCTTAAATTTTTACATTGAGTTTTGTGTACTGGAGAATGCAAGTGGTTATCCGTATGTCCGACAGATGGCACCAGCACCGATCGCTGAAATTATTGAAGTCAGCTCTCGTTTGACGGTTGTTTGCTCTTCTTTGAATCGATATTCATTTGCATCTAGTTCCACCTTTCCACATAAGCCCCACCTACTTCGCCTTGATGTGAGACAATGTATTTCGCGATCCTTTGCATGATGTAAAGTTTTTTTACACAAAGAAAAGAGGAAGAGAAAGAGCGTGTCCTCCGTTTACCCCCACCACCACATTTGCCGGTCGCGATTTCTCAACGGTTCTGCATCGATCTCAGAAATAGCCCGGGTGACGTTCAAAAAAGCGGAATTCCGCGAAAACGCAGAAAACTTTCATGCCTGAGGTACTAAAATTGTATTTATTGTATTACACTGTGGTGGTTTGGTACCAAAAGTTCAAAAACAAGGTCTATTTAAAACAATCGCATTCAAGAAGCAGAGCACTCTGCCTGACCTAATGATTTTGATGAGGCCTGCTTGCAAAAACTTGTGGAAGAAGACCAGTATGCAGCCTTTAGAGAGCTTCCTAAAGAGTTAGACATTAGTGCATGTCCATTAGTCATGCTATGCATCACATAAACTTGATGTACAAATTCAGTCACTGGATGCCACGTGAACTGACTCAAGTAAATAGGACAGACATTAATTTAGAAGTCAAAAAACAAAAATCAGCAAACAACAAAATTTTCATAGGACTAGTTTCGATGGTTTTACCAAACCAGCATCTTCAGCTGCCAGAGCGCAAATAAACGAAATAAGCTACAGAGATTAGATAAGATGAGAATAAAAGCAGTAGCTATTGACAGAGCTTTTCACTCAACATGACTAACGAAGCAGTTAAAAAATTCTCATCTCAACATACCAAAAGGCAAACTCTTGTTTTAGGAGATTATAAGAAGTCTGTTATCATTCCATTCTTTCCATCAATTAGCTAAAAGTTGCACATTTTTTACAGAAATTTTTACTTTCAGGTCGTTTATTCTCCTATCAATAAAATCCAGAGTTCCATTCTCAAGGACCCCATTCCAGATATGAATTCCTGGGGTATTTACAGGATTCCTTGCCAGTAGGGTTTAATTTACATTGGTCATACCAAAAGAGCTTTAAAATTTTGCATCAAGGAACATGAGGCATATGTTAGGAAGAAGGAAACACACAAGTCGTCTGTTGACAACATTGTTGGTCCGAAAAATTACACTTTGTTTTTCTGCAGCCAAAATCATTCAAAAAGCATCTTCCTCTGGTGAATTGGATTTTCTGGAAGCATTTCACATTTAAAAAAAATCTGTCTGTTCTAGTTAACAACCCTAATTCCAATCCATCTTTCCCTTCAGCCTTTAAGGAAATTATGTTTCAGTTCTCATTTCATCAATAGATAGTGCCAGTAGCTTAACTTCTGTCCAACTATTCTTATCTAATCGTCATATCTTATCTCGTTAATTTGCACTTTGGCAGATGAGGATGATGGTTCAGTAAAACGATCGAAACTAGTCCTGTGAAAATTTGCAAATATAACGCTGATTTTTGTTGATGACTTCTAAATTAATATTTGTTCGGCATGTTATTTTATCTTAATTATAGGACAGACGTGTTTGTGCCTGCACTAATCTGCTTGAATATTAAGGCAAGAACTAAATTCTGGACCGGATCGTCACTTGTGATGTAAAGTGGATTTACTTCAACATAAGTCGAAAATGGGGCTGATGAGCCTGCCGGCAGTGTCACAAAATGCAATTTGACTAACAAAATGATCATGCTTTGTATCTGATGGGAGTATCCAGAAAAAGGTTAAACTCTTTGGCAGTAAAGTGTACAGCGAGATGCTAGTCCATGTTGATGCTGATATCAAGGAAAAACGTCGAACAGAGTTCCGGTGTAAAAAGGTGATTTTCCGTCAAAATAATGAGAGACCACATATGTCTGCATTCACTGGCTAGACTCTGTACAGACTCAAATGGGATCTTGCCACACCATGCAGCCTAGATATCACTCCTTTCAACGTCTATCTTTTTTCACACCTGCAGCTACTTCTTGCTGGTACTGTCTTCCATTCTGCATGGGATGTCCGAAATGAGGTTGATATGTTTTTAGTCTCGTATTTCTGGGCCTAAGGCTTTAAAAAAACTACCAAAACATTGGCAGAAAATCATAGATGTGGGTGGTGATTACTACCCACACAAAATGTACTGCTTTTTCTTTTTTCCTCTCTAACTTGATTAAGAAAGTTTTTGGGTGGAAAACTTTCATTATAACCAGATATTATGTATATGATTTGAAATTTTCATAAATTAATTCAGATTGCATTTTCTAATATGCAGGAACTATAACATTAAATATATACATAAACAGTTAATGCAGTTATCAGCCAAAGCATTATGATGAGAATGCACTCTCTAGAATGAGTTAGATAGGCAACAAAGTGTGAATGTTATTTTTTTATACATGTGAACTACAACATTAAATATATCCATCAAAGGTTGACACACTGATCAACTAAAACAGGAAAATCTGTACACTGAAAATTTCGAATTGTTGCAAAGAATGACGTAAATGGTACATGACAAGGTGGGAATACTGAGGCATAATTTTGTAAACTATGTATGCGTGTAATGGGGAAACCTGTTGATATACACATATTTGATAAAAGCCACATTGTGATGACCTGAAGGAGT